AACACGTATTCTGACGTGCAGATGTGAGTGTGTAATTACATGCCCTCATATTTAGAAATCTCTTAGGAAGCAAACTCATCTTTATGAGTCTGGTGAAATTTGGCGGGCAAAAATGGCCTCAATTTCTGATAAGCTGCACTTTGCTCTTTAATTTCCCCTCCTGATTTGAAACGCATCTACGTTCCCCTCCCCCGATCTGTTAGGTAAGCGGTCTGCCTCAACTTTTGGAACCGGAAGGATGGAAATGCATCTTGTGAACAGTATTACGGTGGCCACAGGTGATCGTTCATCGCAGACGGGCATCTGCGGAGGAGTACTGTAATTTAAGTAGTCTCATTAATTCTGCCTGTGGCTAATGGCATTTTTCCGTAGCGATAAATAAATGGCTGTCTGTATGGATGCTTCCCATGACTAGTATGGCAGGCATCCGGGTAAGATCTGACACTAATTAAAGTCCAGTGAATATTTAGAGGGTCACAATCTGCTTGTAGCGAGTAGAATATGGGGCTACATTCAAACGTTTGATGGCAGTTTGGACGCGGCGGGGGTCAGATCAGTGACCGAACGTGCACAGGGTTGTTGTAAGTCATCGTACGGCTCTAAAATGACGGCGTAAGTGTCACTCGTTTATCATCAAGGTGTAGGCATCAATTGCTATAAGTTTAAACGTTCGTTACATCCGCAAGTATAGCACCATGTAAATATTCCCGGAAGCCGCCATTATCGCACCGCCAAGCTGGTAAGTGTCGGCCTATTGTCGTCCGTTAACGTTAGGGATAATGGTAGCATCCATAAAATGACAATAAACAAACACATTTCCAGCGGAGACCAATACGTTGATCTGTATAGCATTCCATGCTGGCCGTCTGTCTGTGTTATTCATTGGTATCACTTGTGTAGTAAAAATTGAATAAACAAAATGAAACTTAATCGATTAGTACATGGAGAGATTGACACATCTTTCATGCTGATGAAAACATTCTTGTAAAATGGTGAATTCTGATGCACAACCTCTTAGAAATAACGTCCGATGCCGTTTCATTTGGGTACTGCGTAAATTTATCCCTGATGTTATTGTTTTAGTGAGGATGGTTTCGTGGAACAGAATACAGACATCTTCAGACGCATCATCCTTAAACAACTTGATTCACCGTTTGTAATAGACATTAAAAGCATTTGTCTCATTTAGCCCATCTGGCAACCATATGACCCGTATACTTCCGTGTGCAGTCAGCATAACTGAACTTGTCAGCTCATTTGGAAGCCTTATCCGACTTATTTCTAAGTACTTCCAAGTACTGACTCTGTGTACACAATAGCTTCAGCCAGGGGAGAGTACTATCAGAAACCGATGAAAATGTGCTTTGCTGGAGAGTCTGTTTCAGGATCACTGGCCAATATTTTGAATTCTCAAATTCCTACATAACTGCCTTTGGAGCCAGTTGTTATCGTAGAGATGGTGGCCACTGGTAAACAAGTGAGAGGCTGGCTCTCGGCACCAGAACACTTCGGCCGTCAGCAGAGTTGAAGACTGTAAATTTTTCCCTATCGATAGGGATCCCGATTTTCCGCAGTTTGCTGTCACAGGTTAACTTCTACAAAGCTAGCATTGTCCGCAGGGTCAATCTAATCACACTGCCAGTTCATGCGCTTATGAACCCTTGATAAAGGGCCGTACCCCGGAGATATAACTTGTCCTGTAACTTGTCCGGATGGTCGTCAAATCAATAGCAGTCGTATCTGAAGCTTAATTTATGGTTCACAGATGCGTCACAAAGCTTCAGATATCTCCATATACTCTGAAGTGCAACAACAGATGAGTTAATTCCCCTAACCCGACCAGCTTTTCAACACGTATGAAGCATGCATTTGGGCGCTTGATGGACAAAACAGTAACATCTATAATCCTATAATTTTTCGCTTCACAAAAAGAACTGTTGTAAATGGTTAGTAGGACCTTATAGTACTGGCCTGAGTTACTTTGCTATGTTCCAGAAAAGTCATTCTTATTTCCATCATCAGGTCAGATCATATCGATTATATTATGCCACACAAGGCCTCGCACATACATTTATTAGATATTTTTAAAAATGTCTAATTTGGTATAGACATAATCTGGATAAGATGTGTTTTTGAATTACAGGTATTTTTGGTGCGATTACTGAAGGTGGCGGCCCAGTATTGGTTTTTAATATGCCTTCTATAGTGTCCCCAAGTTATGGTCGCCATTAAGACCAGACCAATGAATACCCACATGAAAATGCGAAACAGCTTGTTGGCCAATGGGAAAGTTAGTTTTCTTTCAAAAGAGGAATGGGTGATGCGAGTTTGCAGTTTAACTTATTGTCACTTTATTTGTGCCTGTTAGTAATATAGTTTTCTGACGAAAAGCACGGAAGTCACAATTAGCCGGCGGTCATGGTTTCATCAAAATATCAGTGAATGCCACATGCATGAAATTTCGACGCCAGCGTATCCGATCCACTGCTCCGAATTATCTACTGTCTCACTGCTGGATGGGGTTTTGGTAGCCCTCAGATATATCCATTACGTAAATGTCTCTGGCCTTGATATATCGATCGCGACGGCATTTCCGTGATGGTAAGCGTAATTGATTAGGAGGAGGCTGGTTTTAACCTCGCAGTCCTATATACTAATGGATTTCAGAGCGATGATTTTTGACCAGTTGATAGTCCGATCTTCTGTGACTTTACTTTCATAACAGTTTTATTAGGACGAAGCCTGTTTGATAACCTGCATGAAAGCTAGGTTGATTGCTTGTGCAGAAGCACAGCTAAGCGGAGTTCGCTTGAAATAATCCCGTTGGGTAAATTATCCAAGGTTTATGTAGTTGAAGCTTACCCCAGGAAGATACTCGAACGCCAAATTTCAGTAGCGTTTTGCTAACATCAGTCGCAACTGTTTCGTGCGTCTGGACCTCTTGCAAAGCAAATCAGAATGAATCGTACAATTCAGTTAGCATGCTTGACAGCTCAAGTATAGGCAGCAAATAGAAAGCAAGTTAAACAATGTCGAAACAGATCATAAAACGTTTGATAAAATACCGTAAATGGGGCTGTCCGCAAGCCGCCATTGTTCCTGAATGTGACCTCATAAACCTGCATGTCCAATGTTTCCATGGTTACTTGAATAGACTAAACTAATGTTTGCTTCACATCAGCAACGAACCATTCCAAGTTTCGCTGGGTATGAAAACATATTGTACACTGACTGACATTAAGATGTGGAGGCGGAGTTTGCACGGACCATCACCTTTTGTCACTATTTTTGTCTTCCCCCTACAATCACTAGGAGACAGATTTAAATCAGGTGAAGATCTTTGGTAGCTCTGGCCGTGTTACCCTTCCTTCATGGGCCAACGGCATGCTGTTGCCTACAGTAGTTGCATGCATATCAGCGGTGCGATTTCCATCGATATCGGCATTAATCTATTTGATAATGTTAGAGGATGTTAGAGGATGCGAACCTTCCGGATAAGCTAAACTGTCGAAAACAGCACCATCGATTTTATGCACATATTTTGAGTTGTTAATTTGAGTTACTGTAAAGGTAAAACATGGGATCTCGGGCCAGACCACTATGGACGGGGAAAACAGGTCACTCTCAGCAGCGACAAAACAAACTGTTTCACGATCTATACAAATTACCCAGTGCCTTGGATAAGCTGACTGTACGACAAGTTATCTATCCCCAATTCCTCATCCATAGAAACAACAACATTCCAATTTATAAACATGCACACAGTATCATGCGCATTTTAAACTGTAGAGAGAAAGACAAGTGCTTCATAGCAAACGACGATTTCCGATGTATTTTCTGCGTTATCTCGTCTGAGTATGTTGTGCCTCATGGAACAAAGGAGCAAAGAAGCTCCTCGTGAATGTGTCTGATTGTAGGTATGTTAGTGCTAATAGAGCTTTTTCCAGTTTGATTGCTTTAATAAATTATCACTCCGGGGAATTTCGAAGCTACAACTTCCCGGTTAGTAGTTTGCATAGTTATTCGTACGGCCACCACCGAGTGGTCTGCATTGTTATTAGCTGACAGTTAGACAGGATAGAGCATACTCATTACTGAATCATAGAAATGACACCACCTCTTCACGTACTGACTGGTTGCATGAGCGTAGAATCATCAGATAGAAGATTCACTCATATTGTGAAGCCAGTCTTCCTTCGATCTAATTGCAGACCATCTGTGTTTCCCCGGCACAAGTCAGGTCTGATGTGAACGCCCGATTAGGAATGTTAAGTATGGTAGATGGTCTTAGAAAAAAGAAACTCCTCCGCGATTGATGAATTACTCCTGCCCCATAGGTTACGCCGGTTAGGACATTCCAGAAGACCGTCTGGTTCATGGAGCTCAGTTTGCCCAGCCCTATGCTGAGTAAAAACGACAGAGATGTGGACGGTGTATGGTCTGGCATCGAAGTAAGAAAATAGCAACCAGTAAGTCTAGTCAGGTCGACAACTGCCAACCTCCCTGGATGGGGTTCCCGGGACTCAACTCGTCAGGGATTGATGACATTGGCAGAAATGGTCCGATCGCATAGTCATTGGCGCCCACGTATCAAAGCTATCTCCTTCAATGCGTAGCTACTCAGTTCCTGAACTAACTAAATGTGCCATTGCCTCCAAGGCTGGGCTGCTCTCTCATTCATTTACCGGTGATCGAAACTGTAGCAGCTGAATCAATGCGCCTATGATGCATGGCTTATAGCTGATAAATTGAACTGATTGATCAACTTCGACTTGGATTCACCCGTAGACTGAGTCGCGTGCTTATGTACCTTCATATCTCGTACTTCACACGTTACTTAGCGCCTCATGAATCGCAAATCTTGACTGAACAGCGACATCGTGTGACGTTTTTACAAGTAGCCAGTTTGGATGAATTCTTGTTTAGCACGCATACACTCTGAATTGAACAGGGTGACAAGCGTTGTATACTTCCTTAAGGAATTTTCAGCAACCTTATAATTAGTGCATTACGTCTGTACATGTATCGCTATGTCTGGAATATCGTAGCAGCTGGAAGGTGAGGCGGCATGGTGCAGCACATTCAGTTGCCTGGAAACGTCACAAACGAGAGACTCAGCTAAGTTCCAGGTTAGTCTCTCGCAAAACCAAATTTGTTTGCAGATGAGTATATTTTTCTGGTTGATGCCGCTGTTTACTTGTGAAGTGTGTCAGGGTGGCCGAGCGGTCTAAGGCGCTGCGTTCAGGTCGCAGTCCACTCTGTGGGCGTGGGTTCGAATCCCACCCCTGACAAGCCCGTTGTTTCGACGACTGTTTTGATATGTGAACAGCTTTGTGAAGTACCTCTGTGGTGAAAACTATGTTTAGCGTTTGGTTCCTAGGAGCATCGCCAAGTAAAGTTATCGCCATCGGACATTTTACGGTTGACTGACTGACGCTGGGAGAAGACACCGGTGGTCAGTTGATTAGTTACTTGTGTGATCGCGATGGCTATGCAAATAAAGTGTGCTGTACCGACAGAAGTCATACTGTGTACCACTGTTACTTACAAACTCTCTGCTTTACATTCAGTATCGGCGGCCGTAATGAAGCTGGAACATGGAGGAACATTTGAACATCCTCAAGAAGTGACCGAGAGCCATCCTAATAGCCGAGGCCCTTGTATAAGGGTTGCACCCCGCGCACTTCGTCTTCTGGCCATCCCCTCTGTCCTTGTGTTCCGATGATAAACTGTTCAACTATGTCCTGATGCTTCTCCGTTAATGGTTAGCGAAGGTTAGTAACCTGGCGATATATCCGCCCAACGCACTGTGTTCTCCCTTTCAGTTCCACCCATGTGCCACCCTCGGAATATCTTAGTAGGAAGCCTGGATAGCTTCACTGCACGCAGGAATTGTACAGTGGTATCGGAAAGGGTTCAAGGAGGCAACCGATTTGACAACGAATGCGAACAATCATCCAGAATATTGCGCCAGAAGGCACTAGCATAGCTTTACGTCCTTCGACAGCTAGTTGGATCTCGGTGAACAACAGAAAGTAAGTTAGTCAGCGTGTTCCCCTCAAACTGCTTAAGGCTTCAACATCGAGGACAACGCACCTTTCCGGCTTGCGGTGCTTTTCCGGTGGGCCAGGAATTCTGGGGTCACTTTACAGTCTCAGACACCATAGCACCTCCTAACACCAGGAAGCGTGAGAACGAAAGCATGAGGACGACTGTTCACATCGGAAGCCAGAAAAACGATGAATAATTTGCCTAAATTTGGCAGAACATCGAATAACTCCTCCTCACATAGCAGAGCAATTGTGAATAGGATTCACTCGGACTTTCTTCCTACATGTAGTCACTCTATGCTGTCTCACCCCTAGCGTGAATCGCAAACACCTCGCATCCCCAGGGAGATTCAAACTCATGACCTGTCGGACAGTACTGAAACCTGTAGTGCAGCTGAAATCGCGTGCCACCAAAGTGCTACAGACATTTCGTTCCTTGTGCGTATCTATCTATCTATCTACTGACAACTCCATCCGCTTCAAAAACCCAAGAATTCCTGTGTACTTACATTTATTGCGCTTTGTTCACACAGTAAGACATGACGCCCACTTGATTCGGTGAATCTGTACGAGCTCCTTTGGCTCTAGGTAAAGCTGAGTCGGCCATCTATTCAGGCATTTGGTCCCCTATGCTGAGAAGTCGAGACTAATCAAATCTTCTAACCAATAACTACGTTTGGGAGTTACCAACACGGCACACGCCCCCAGACCCCCACAGGTCGGCCTCGACCAAGTGAACTGCAATTTGATTGGACAGGGTTTAGCGCCACTCTTCCTTTAATCATGGGAGTCACCTCACACCAGCCAGTACCTCTAAGTACAAATTACTAAAGTCGCTAATCAATACTGGTGGCCGGGCGATTAGCACCTCAACTACTATCCTAGGGTTCGCCAGTTCCACTAACCCTGGAGTTTCGTTAAATGTCTACAATCGATGAATACCAGAAAGGCTGAAGCAGATGTACAATGTTTTTGTCCTTCCGGCATAGATTGGCAACACATGTAGTATGGAGTTTGGAATGAAAATAAGTTCATGGACTAACCACAATGAATTGTAGATTTCCAAAGAGATAACTGTGTGAATTTGTGAAATACACACACTTTCAAACTAACTTGGTCACAGAGAGAGACTCGAATGAATCCCAGATGAACCTCCCGTCCAAGTTTTTAAATATGATGCATAAAGTTCTTCTCGTGTTTTAGATGGCGCTATATGTGAGATAAAACATTCATTGAAAGTAACTTAGTTCAGAAATGAATGTAATTCACCCAATGAGTTCAGCTGTAGAAAGTGAGTTTTGTGGAAACTCATTGACTGTGCCTAATTGATGGGCTCCGAGATGGCTGAAACTGATTGTGGGTTCTCGAAGAGGTTTTCGCAGCCTTGTGTGTAGCGCATTTGGTTTTTGTGAATTTAAGCTTTGAGGACTGATAGCCGTATCCGTAAACGGGCTTACTCAATTCGGTTGTTAGCGTCCGCTCTTAAGTGTCATGCACGCTTTATTTCATTAGAAAGCACGTAAAGTTATTTTCAAAATGATCTACACTAGCCGAAGGGTCCGTATCGGACAATTATTTGTCAGAATCTTAGAAAGCATAGCTTGTAGGTCGAGTGTTCTTTAGAGATTCACTTAGCGTCAAAGTTAACGGGTGTAATTAAGCATCTTTTACAAGCTGATCTAGATAAACGCAGTGGTCACTCCACCTGCACATCATATATGGAAACTGGAAGCTGTCTGGTACGAAGGCACTGAAGTTGACATTTTCAAACAATCTTTTCAAAAAAAGTGACTCGATTTTCGTTGAACACATGTATTCGTGATAAAAGTTTATCAACTGATGGTGCAAAAATTCAACTGGTTTGATTTCCGTCGAAAGCTCCCCAAGATGGAACTGAGTAAACAGCGGGACATTAAGCAACTACACGAGAACTTACACCGCGTCGCTATTCTAACCACCACAGGAAGCAGGCGCATTTGGTATTTATAAAAAAGTTTATACCAAGAGCTGGTATGTATTTTTCCGAGCTCATTACCGTTATACTTCGGTTAATTGGTCTGGACATAATGATGCGAATGTAATCCCTTAATATCCGGACCTCCTCCGTCGTAGTACTGGCAAACTGTACGACCTACTCAGCTGAGTTTCAAGTTTCAGGCACCATTTAGCCTTTTGAATTTCAGTGTGAAGCGTCCTAAATCTGATTACTTTTCCTGAAAATAATACCCCTGTACATCATCCCCATTTCACCGGAATTCCTGGATTGGTTGGTAACAGAGGCAAATTATTGTGTGTCACAAGTAGCTGAAAAGTCTCCCACAATAAGACGGGGTTGTAGACCAGTGTTGCTACCAGCTCACTTGTCAAATGACAGTGTCGTATACATCAGCTGCGCCTGAGGCAATGATTGATGGCCGTTTTGCGGCTCAGCCTCTTATCATTTGATGTTTTTTCTTAGATAAGTCTGACCAAAGCCTTGGAAATTTTGAACTACTTGTCTGAGTCTTCGAAGATATGTTACATTGACGTGCTTGTCAGAAAGAAATGAAGCAACCAGAAACGCTGGAGCGCATCGAGAAATCTCCATCCCAGCTAATTTAGAGACCGAATGAGATGTGTTATGCACCTTCGAAGAGCGTTTCTGGCATCGCATTATTTCCCTAACCATAGCGAACTGGTAAATAATCGAAAGCCTCATATACTAAACGGCGTGTCTCCAAAGTCGTGACAATTTGTCTTACGAGAAAACTGAGATGAGACTGGAAATGTAGAGAGTTGAGAAGGGAGAAATCTTGCTAGGTAAGGAGCTGCCACTGAAGTTGTTCCACTGAAATGTGCCCAACATTCGAAAAACCTTGGTCATAGTAGAGCGTTCAGAGCATGTGGAATATTTTTGTTTAGCTTTATATGCTAAATGATGATATGCAAAATGATGTTTTAGTGTTTGATCAGCTCCATGGTCATCCAATGAGTAATAAAAACCAACTCTGAGGGACTGGAACAGTCTCCTTGTGAATGGACGTTCTACAAAACTGACTGGGGAAGTTTGTTGAGGATTTTCTTGGAGGGGCAAGTCTTCTATCTGGAGTCAACCAGGAAAAATTACTGTCTACATAAGAGACCGTGTGTTAAATATAGGAGCGAACTTCTTTGAGATGGCGTAGTGGTCAAACAATATGTTGAACCTACACCATGTGTTAGACGTGGGAAAAGACTTTGAGATCTCATAGAAAAGCGTTCAACGTGACGCAGTGAGCGTGACACTTCACATTAGTGTGGAATAGAACATTGGGAAAGGGATTTTCAAATCGTGGCGCGGGAGGTCAGGGAGATACAAGAATCTGCGATCACACATGAAGCCGTTAGAAACCAGTGAAGATTCCCATCCAACGTTGTGGTGACTGTGGATATATCTCTGAAGGGAGTCAAATGGCAGTGTGACTCTAGGAGATGGTTGATAAGCGAATACGGATCTAAGGAAATCACTCATTGTGGCAGAAGAGTGGAATGTCTAAAAGGAACACTGGAAATGTTGAGCTCGAAAACATGTGAATTTTCCTGTCATACCCCAGGATTCATTTGGATTAATTTTTCATTGAGCAAGCAGATTAGACGCAACTTCCGCTCATTAATCTGTTACTTTATAAAAAATCTGAGTTTTCCCTTACACTATGTAATTTTCTAGCGTTACGAAATATCTTAATAGTATGCTGAATTGAGAGAACGCGGTTGACTGGCACTGGCTTATAGTAGCTCACTCATACTTGGTGTTATCTGTCTTCAAGTAAAAGTTATATTTTCTAAACAGACGATCCTTTTCCGTTGGCATCCATTTGCAAGCCACAATCGATTTTCCAAATCGATTTGCGTAAAGAATCGTTAACATAACCAACTTAGTTTACAGACACACCCAAAGCGGAAATGCAGGAAACCTACAACACGAACGATTTTTATGTTGTGTGGTGTTCTTGAAACATGGAACGCTGCTGTATTGATCGCAAGTGCGATTTGTGCTTCTTTTTTTGCTGCGTGATATTGTAGGTTAGCGTTCTCTGTGATTTATACCACCGCAATGGTAACTAATAAGTGTAGCATCTTAGAACACCCTTCCACCCCTGAGTTGAACGAAAAGTTAGAAAACTGGTATGTTGTACCATTTGACACCAAGTTGAACGAAACCATGATGTCACGTGACTTACCTTGAAGCCAAATTCATTCTGAACCCTCTGTTACCAAATTTAGTATTTGCCTGTCCTCATGAACGTGTTATAGGTAACCCATTGCGTCTTGGCTGCTTCATGTGACTTATAGCATACTGTAAATGTTTGTGACATGATCGATGGACACGAAGTTTTTCCACATAATGCAGGTAAGTACAGGTTCGAAACGGCTCTACTCCCGTTTCAAGTCGCAGTGAAATAGTCCAGTTATCTGCAACTACTACGTCCACAAATTTCCTTTTTGAGATTATACCCTGAATATCAAGCAGCTAAATCCTGCTACATCTGCCTAAGGAGCAGCAATAAAAAAGAATCATAATTCTACGAGTGGCAACTTATTCTTTATATCAATTATTTCTGTTTTTATGAGGAATAATGCGCAGGAAGACCAGGTCCTACAACTTCTTCAGCAGTCGCTGATGAGGGTCTATTCTTTATCTTTTAAAGTTCTGTGTCCGTGTCAGTCGGGTATTTTCACCGAAACCATTTTTGGATAAGTGCACTTTGATTCAATAGGGGTTACTGATGCTAGTGCATGTGGACACTAGAGTGCTACGGTAGATCATTTGCCGCAGGATTTTACCCTAAAAATTCGTTTGAGACGATTCCACACTCTGGAAAGAACATAATGAAGCTTATGTCCGAAGAAGCAGCTTAGTATGATACAGAAAACCGTTGACTATGGTTTTTCATTGAAAAGCAAGTGCGTATCGAATGTATAGAAACACAACCCGGAAAGCTTTCCACCGAGAGCCGTAGCAAAAAGACTATTCCTCGTGGAAGCTGATTCACAAATTTCGAGTCATGTGATTGTGAAAACGGAATTCACGCATACTTGTGCAAGGCTGATTCAGTCCTCTGCCTTAACACGACTCGTTGTGTGCAACAGGTCGAGCAGTCTACCAAATAGCCTGATCGATCAGTACTCAGATTTATTGATCCCCAGTTTTGATGATTCAGCCGACATTCTTTCGTTGTTTGGATGGTGTGCGGGACGCAGGTAGGCTCAGCTGCCATAGCTACGCTGGCTCCTGTACACAAAATGAACAAGGTTTACTTTAATTGTGACGAGAATCTATTTCTCGTTACCAAATGTCATCTTGTGTGTTCTGCGTGAGTAGATTCTAAACTAAGGGTTTTCCAAAGGGTTCTGTTGAGTTTAGCGGCTGTGTGTAAATAAGGAAGTTGGTTAAAAGATAGCTAAAGTTGAGGTGAACTTATTTGTTATGTTGACCTCCTGTCTGAACGGAACTCACAAATATTCCCTTGATTTATTCCTGAGATAAATGCTTCCTTGCGTCACAATTACAGCTTCTCATAGAAACAGAGGCAGGGTGTTGGGTCAGAGGCTTTCTTATGACGCATGCGTTAAGAGAAGAATGATTAGCCACATTTGCATGCTTGCTACGATCATGCAGCTTTGTTCCACTTAACTAAAGTGCATTCTTCATGTATAGGCTTACCAAACAACTCATAAGATTGTTGAAAACCTTTCGACAGTCCACGACCGGTTTCACCCTTCTTGGGGCTCATCAGGCAGGCGCGGTCTTTGTGTTTCCCTTCACGTAAACTTATGTTGTAATTGAACCCAAATTGCACGAAATTAGTAGCTCATTCAGCTTCTGGCAAACATCAAAACAAATTGATATGCAAATGAGCGTATTTCGCTGCATTCTCTATTCTGTTCCCATAATACTCGAGTTCAGGGAGAACTGTCGTCTAGCTCTCATGTCACTAAATGAATGCATCAGCTGTGAACGGCCTTGTCACATTGCTTCTCCTAACACACTGGTTGTTACTCAGTCACTGATTTTAAATAAATCAATTACTTGTATATTAGCGCTGTTATGTCCTACACGTTATATACAGTGCAAAGGCTGTCTCAGAATATGTTTTTGGTCGATATTCCAAACGTTAAGATAGTTTCTTTTATCATTATTAGAGTATAAATGGAACCCGGTCACCTGAAACTAAGTTTTGAGAACTTGTCCGGTGACAGTTTATGATATATTCCATCAACGTCAATTGAAATATTTCACTACTTGGTTAGCAGGCTCGTCTGAATATCTCAGAAGCCGTATAGTATGTAATACCTTCTGAGGGATGATGAAATAATCAATCCCAAAGAGAGATACTAGTTAAGTAGGAGAATATCAAATGTCAAGTGCTGATACATTCTTTGGTTAAGGAGTACTGATGTTGACACAGTGGGTCTATATCGTAGACTACCACGAGTCAGCTATCTAGGGGAAATAGTGTGGCTTACCATACAACTTTTGAGCAGAGCTTCAGGTACAAGTGATATGTGCTTGTGATATGCCACTGCGAAAGAAAATCTATGTATTTTGTTAGATGTTCTTAACCGTGTTTACAAAGTGGGGCGAGATGGCCCGAATGGTTAGAGCGCGAACTTACTGACCGGAAGGTCTGTGGTTCGAACCCAACCTCCGCCTTTCGACTGCCCTTGTCTAGGCTTGGGCAACCTGACAGTATCCCAGCCCTCGTGCAACCTTCAGGTGGCATGGCAGTTAGGCACCGGAAGGGTGCTACAGCTGAACGATGTTTACAAGGTGAACAAGACAATTCCAATGCTAAGATTGTCATTGGTGTTGAAAAGGTCATATTAGCATATAATATTACACAGATTATCAGGCCAAAAAAACGCAGATTAAGTTAGACCAATTCAAACAGCCATTTATAGTTTGAATAACACATTGAGAACACAGAGTGGTGGCGCGTTGTCCAAACCGTTGAAAGCCTGTCTTGCCTAGAAAGTCTCCGACCCATTCTCCTGGATAATCAGATTCTCTTGGAATTTCAGCGATATGTTGGAAAGCTCAGCATAACTTTCATTTGCATACAACTCAGTTCTTGAATTGGGAACACTTAGTAAGTGTCAGATAAGGACGAAATAATAGCTGAAGTTCACCTATATGTCACATTCAACTCAAATACTTGGCCAACCAAGATGCTGAAAGTTTACTGGGCACCTCTATGGTAGGTTGTTACCCATGCCATGTCAGCTGAACCGATAATTGGTAGCCAAGAGGCCTTGTTGGGTTTGCTCACCTAGTTAGCCGTTCTCCCAAGACTGACCTAGATGAGCTTGGATCTGCGGGCTTCCAGTGATTTTGTTCCGGCAGTTGTAGGATACAATCAGAAGCTGTGTGCATGCTAGGCACTAATGACAAAATAGGGGGTGGGAATGTAACCAAATGGTAAGCGAAAATTGGTTGTACAGATTGTTCAGGGTAGGCTTTCTCTGACGTGGTCCATAAATTAAGAGTCAGTACTCGACTTGGTGGACCATTGTACAAAGTACGAAGGGCATATTGTGTTGCATTTACATTCTCCGTTGTTATTTACACGCGGTTGATAACCACCATATGTGATGTCAATTTGCGCATCGGTTGTTTATTCACTTCAGTGGTGTAACGTGTAACCTATGGTAGGTAACGTGCTTATAATGAAGTGAGACAATACATTAGTTGCAAGCGTGCGAAATACAACTGACGTGCAACCTCACAATCTGACAACGTTACCGTTCCTTGAAGTTGTCAAACTAACAATAATAACTTGTTTAAATATATAAAAGACACTTACCTTATTTAGATTTTCGTGAGTGCGTTAACTGACTCTTTGCTGTCGCTAGCTAGGTGGTACATTTTGTGCACGACAGTGAAGTATCGGTATTGAACACTGATGATGATGATGTATCTATTGCAGTGACATGTGATAACCAGCTTTAACGCAACCACACATCGTTGTGTTTATAGTGAACATGTATGAAGATTTTTGTTCAGGGTTACATCGGTGAGTCGCATACTACGCCAACCAAGCAGACACCACAATTCTCCTCATAACAGTCTCTAAATCAGACGTTCGAGCGCCAGTTTTCGATTATCTCCCCAGTTGAATTCCAGCCAATAACCTAAAATTTTTATTCCAACAATGACAGGATAATTGTTGCATTAACATAGTCCTGTTTTCTCCAAACTAATAGCCTGGAAGCCTATGGAAATTTGTCTGAGGATACTTCTTTCATTTGTTGTTTATCCTCACTTAGCAAAAACTTTAGCTAAGCATTTGCCGTTCCGTTGTAGGAAGGTTAGGAGGGATACGTTTAGAGACGAAAAGAACTGTTCTATCGTCGAGGACATCTTATTATCACACTGATAAGTAACTTCATAACCTAACAGTGCCAGAAGAATGAACTGTGATTTGTAGCGTCACCGTCAGTAGACCTGCACCAGTGCTGATATTTGCATTAGTTTCAGGTGTTTTCGGGAATTGTTCCCACATTCTCGCCTCTCGGGCTATTCGACTGAGTTTGTGAACATTGTCACTGTCTTAAACACGCGCACATTGCTATTGTGAACATTGATGAGTGAGGTTCATATTCAGTAATCAAATAACTTTGTTCCGGTTTGCGTTATATCCGTCATGACCTGTTTCAGACAGCACGTGTTTCAGGTTTTCCTCTGCCTAGGTGAGCTAGCCGGTAAACATTGTGATTTGATTGAAATACACTCATTTGCATACCATTTGGTTTTGTCGGAAGACTTGCCTCTAACCCAGCTGAATCTCTTGTTTATGATGTTTTTAAATAACTGAATATGGTAGACCAGGTCGTCTCTTGTCGCCAGTTTGGATGACTCGTGCTTTACTCAAGTAGAAATAAGACTGAAACGAAAAGAGTTCTTAGACTACCCAATTTAGTTTGGAAGAGCTGAAAGTATTATCACTGTATTAAATAACTGTAATGATCATGACAATGACCTGATATCCATGATGCGTTCCTTCTTCTGTGTTAGCAGCCACACTGCCGAATTTTTTACGAGGGCTATATTGATTCTCCCGGAAATTCCCATTTATAATAAGAGCACAGATGGGACTGCTGCTAAAGCTAAAATAATGGATATTGATTCCTTGAGGTAATTGGAATGATCCAATGTTTCATTATCTTGGATTGCTGCAAACTCGTGTGAGGTATTCGTGGTCGCCGACATACTGTTGTCCCTATTCCCCTCCTCCCTTGGATACTGGTTTCCTTGGTGATTATCCGAAAGATGGTTAAACAGCTGCTGCTCTCACTGGACGCTAGCGGATGTGCGGATGTTCAATTCCCATTTTTGATGTACGCCGCAGTTAAACATGAGTACCAGTTTTACGTATCCATGCAACTGAATGCCGTTGGTCAGCAAAACACTTTGGCCTAGTATTTTTCGGCCAGTAGGCACATGACCAAGGTCACTCTCCGAGGAAGTATCGAAGATATTTTCACTTTGCATTTTAGTCTTTGTTTACTCGTGTCCCCGGACCCGACTATGGCGCAGTTTACCCACAATTCGACGTAAGGCATTCACTTTGAAATGTCAGGCGTTGCTACTCGACATGCACCTGCTGGCCGCAATCCCTTCTGGTAATTCGGCAAGTGTACTGATCTGTCACCGGATTTCCTAGAGAAGACCAAGTAATAAGCGCTACTTACTACAGTTCGCTATTACCGATCGTATGTTGGTATTTATGCTATACTTGAAATCACGTATTTTAGAACCGCACACATTGTTCTATCCACTTGATAGTACCGACGTTCCAGACGTTCAATATTCCGAGTACTGACTTTATACCGGTTTTTCTAACATGATGTCTACTTCGGTTATAACGAAATCCGGCTCTGGAAAATTCGTTAAACTACCTCGGACACTATAACCTATATTTTAATTTTCCACTTAACGCAAGGATGCCTGAACATGCCTGAAATTATGTATGGTGCGCCGGTACTGATGGTAGAATCACGTTTAGAAGACGAGTGCGTGCTAATTAACAGAACAACAACTCTCTACCAATACCACCATCAATATCATCCTCTTAGCGGCCATCAGACCCTTACTACTACTTCAGCGTTTGATACTCTGTTTAGCGACGCTCACGCCCTCCAGTTCCTACGAAGATCTCGCTAGGATTGCATCGGGATGTGGCGTCTCAGTCATAGATGCTAACTTCGGCAAACTGTATTCCAAGCACTCAGGTTTCGAAATTTCATCAAGGTGACTGTATGTCATAACTTTTCTACTTTATTCCTGTTCTCCACGGTTGGTGTTTTTGTGAGAAAATTTCCTTGGGAGTGTATTCAATGCAAATACATGCAAATCTGATATTTTTTATATTGATCAGCACAAAATGAGCAGAAAATTTGGATCTTCTGTAAGCACGCACGGTAATTTACGCAGTTGGAACAATCCAGCGACGATTTTACAAACCGATCCTCTGTAATTTACATAGCCATACCTTTTAGATTTGCGTACGATTACTTTCGTACATACACTGCAGTCTTGGCTACTGAACGCGCGGATTGAAGTGGTGTTGTATGATTTAGCTTGCTTATTAGCTTTACTCTGGGAAATCATATGTCTAAACAACAACCACTTATGCGGGGATACCCAAGACTCTGCTGGAAATTAGTAAGATTGGATTCATTCTCGACAAAAAATGATGGGATTACTGGGGTATTACACAAACAACAAGTCCATTCATCCAATTCAGCAAATGATTTGTTGCACTCTCTGATTGTTCGTTACACTGTTAATTATAGATTACGTCATTATCTGCACTACTTGTCCAGAATAGTCGAGAACATCGTCATACAAACTGTCCAATTTTAGGGCTACAGATGTTTTCTCTAATGTACTGTCTACTGTGCAAAACACGCAAACCGTCAGCAAGGTTCTTTCAAGTTCATATGTAGATTGTTTTCAATACAAACGTCTCATATCTTTTGAGGAATAATTCATCTGCAATTACACACAAATCAGTGAGTATATAAATTCTTCTCATGGCTCTATACTAGTGGTTCTCAGTCAGGGGAAGCCACCCTAGATTCAGAAGAATTGCAAAAGTTCTTCTAGAGCTTAATGGTTCCCGGAACGGTGATTCCCACAAACGAAATACTGGTCTTCGCCCAGATTCAGTTAAGTTTTGAACCAATTTGGACCCTAACTGTCTAATTGTTCCATTTTCATTCTACAACTTGTAGGCTACATGTTACCAGGTCGTGTGCGCTAGCGATGTATGACGTGATACACTACACGTGACGGCTATCTGTAAAATTCGACAAGCGCAAAATGACAGGAAACTGGTTGCGCTTTGTATGTGTTGTATGTGTACTAACATCGTAGCACGTGATTCCGCTGGGCTGCTTCTAATGTCACACCTTGAGAGGCCCAAACAGTCTCTTGGGCCCAGGCATTTTCGTGGCCCAATTGCACATATATGTACAATAGGTTGGAAAGGTTTCATGAGTTTTCCGTTTTCGTCGCCATATCACTAATCTTAACAGAATGATTGGAGAAGGAGGTCCAACCTGGCGTCCTGGAAGTAAAGATATACAACCCGACAGCTTAGTATGCAATATGGGTTATTCATGCTGGATAGTGCCAGTTTCACTACCCGATCAACAACCCATACGTCAGGCATTCTCCCCCAATGATTTTACTTACTGCTTGTGTCCTCGTTGAGTTTGGAGGAGTTCTTCGTATCTACACCATCCACGGTTTACCCCACCTTCCGTTTTAATGGAAGTTAATCTGTTAGTTACGAAACTG